AAAGTCAGAAAACATGGTAAGAATTAGCCTCAAGATCGAGAGACAGCCCGAACTCAACCGTCACCAACAAACAGCATACTTACCTTGTAAATCCTGTACAAAGATCAATCTTTTCTCAGCTCCAGCCAGGGGGAGACAGGGCTTCCAGCAACAGGGAACTGACCAAAGAATGGTCCAAAAAGCTCAAAAGCTTATGTCATACAAGGTGACCCGCACAAGAAAAGTAGTAAGTAGGAACATAGTCAGCATATATATTGCCACTGAGTGGTCATCCAGGTTGTCACAGGTGGGACTGAGTAAGTATAATTACTCAAAATGCACAAAGGGAACTTTCACTGCTTTCAGCACCGCCCTCCGGCGGTCTGTAGTGATAAAATAGAACCTCCCTATGTAAGAAAAAGTTTAAAAGTCCTAAAACCGGCTGCAGGAAAGTTCAGTGGATTGTTGAACTTAAGGTCTTCAATGACCAAAATAAATGAGTAAAAACACCTTTAATGTATTTATTGACTTGCTCACCTCTGTCCTCAAACTGCGTCGCCTCAGTGCTCCGGCTGTTTTCAAAGGCTGATGGGGAAACAGTCAGCTTAGAACCGTCGTCTTTGCTGGAGACAGAGGTATGGAGGTCCGGAACAAGGCTGGAGTGCGATGTCCCAGAGTCCAATTGGAGTAAAGGGTCTGTTTGCTTTGGGGTTCTGTTGTTGAACAGAGCATATTCTCTGGATGACCTAAACTCTGCCACCCTGGCTGCAATCATTTCACATATTTCATCGTTGGTCAGGGGTTTGGTTCCCCTGTCTGTCAACCCACACACTGTTGATCGGTAACAACTTAGAGAGGATGGCAGGGCCATCTTCTGAGAGGCTTCTTAGAACCTTCAAGAACTTTGATCAAACAAACAATATAAAGGTTGATCAAAAGGATAGAGTACTATGATTCAAACAGTACTACTCTGTCCCTCGGCTGGCTTTAGACCTGCTAGATCACTGAACTAGAGAAGGATCTGAGCAGGGCTCTCTGGGGATCACAAAACATCTAGGGACTGCTTTCAAGTTGAAGTCATCCAAATTCTGGTTGGGGCTCTCCTAGGTTTGGGTCAGAGAACTGTCCTGGGTTTGGGTCGTAGAACTCTTTGGGGTTAGGGTCGGAGAACTCTTTGGGGTTAGGGTCGGAGAACTCTTTGGGGTTAGGGTCAGAGAACTCCCTGAGTCTGTGGTTCCTGGGATGTTCTGCAGCGATGGGAAATCGCCCAGATGATTCCAGATGAAGGATGATCTGCAGAGACCTTCATGGACCAATGAAGATCATGGATCAGGTCTTGGCTGCAGGGAGAGAAAAGAGAAAAGATCTAGATGAATCAGATTTCCATACAGAGTGATCTAAAATGAGAGACTATCTGGGGCCCCTGGTCTTGGTTCTGTCTCTAAAAGCTGGAACAGTGAGGGCGGACAATGACCTCTGGACTGACCACAGCTTCATCATCATCATCATCATCATCATCATCATCATCATCATCATCATCATCATCATCATCATCATCATCATCATCCTCAGCTTGTACTAAGAAACCTGCTCCTAAGGGTGAGAGGTCAGGTCAATCCATGGTTCACTTCTGAGCTGCAGATTACCCTGTGCAATAACATGTTTCTCTATATTTGACACCCAGTGCAATAACCCAGTGCCGGAACGAACATGGACTCTCTGGTACTGTTCCTGCGGCGGCGACGCTCAATGTGAGGGACTGGATCAGAACCGCAGCCTCACCACAGTCAGCCTGAGCCCCACTTCATTTAAATGCTCCCCAATAAATGGAGGAAAATGTTTACTGTCACACTGAACGTGATTCGAGCAGCAAAGCAGTCTCCGCTACTTCGTCTCCGCTACCAGCTCTGCCGCACATCAACCAGGTCTGGATCAGTCTGAATCATCTGCATTTTAACAAAGTAGCCCAACTTATACGTTGGATAAGTTATGAGCACGCTGAAGTACGCTGAAACTGGGTGGCACAAGAAGAGATACGGCGAAATGCCTGCGTCTGCCATCCGTGGGCCGTCAGTTCCAGGTCAGTTATCTGATGGTCGACATCCGTTCAGTGTCACTTCCTCTTATCCTAAACCTCTGAGTAACTTGTGCATAACTTATCAAGAACTACTGCTAGAGTCTGAAGCTTCATGTCATCTACCGCTAGAGTCTGAAGCTTCATGTCATCTACCGCTGGAGTCTGAAGCTTCATGTCATCTACCGCTGGAGTGTGAAGCTTCACATCATCTACCGCTGGAGTGTGAAGCTTCACGTCATCTACCGCTGGAGTGTGAAGCTTCATGTCATCTACCGCTGGAGTCTGAAGCTTCACGTCATCTACCGCTGGAGTCTGAAGCTTCACGTCATCTACCGCTGGAGTCTGCAGCTTCACGTCATCTACCGCTGGAGTCTGAAGCTTCGCGTCATCTACCGCTGGAGTCTGCAGCTTCACGTCATCTACCGCTGGAGTCTGCAGCTTCACGTCATCTACCGCTGGAGTCTGAAGCTTCGCGTCATCTACCGCTGGAGTGTGAAGCTTCACATCATCTACCGCTGGAGTGTGAAGCTTCACATCATCTACCGCTGGAGTCTAAAGCTTCACATGACCTACCGCTGGAGTCTAAAGCTTCACATGACCTACCGCTGGAGTCTGCAGCTTCACGTCATCTACCGCTGGAGTCTGAAGCTTCACATCATCTACCGCTGGAGTCTGAAGCTTCACATCATCTACCGCTGGAGTCTGAAGCTACACGTCATCTACCGCTGGAGTCTGAAGCTTCACGTCATCTACCGCTGGAGTCTGAAGCTTCACGTCATCTACCGCTGGAGTCTGAAGCATCACATCATCTACCGCTAGAGTCTGAAGCTTCACGTCATCTACCGCTGGAGTCTGAAGCTTCAGATCATCTACCGCTGGAGTCTGAAGCTTCAGATCATCTACCGCTGGAGTCTGAAGCTTCAGATCATCTACCGCTGGAGTCTGAAGCTTCAGATCATCTACCGCTGGAGTCTGAAGCTTCAGATCATCTACCGCTGGAGTCTGAAGCTTCAGATCATCTACAGCTGGAGTCTGAAGCTTCAGATCATCTACCGCTGGAGTCTGAAGCTTCGCGTCATCTACCGCTGTAGTCTGAAGCTTTGCGTCATCTACCGCTGGAGTCTGAAGCATCGGATCATCTACCGCTGGAGTCTGAAGCTTCACGTCATCTACCGCTGGAGTCTGAAGCTTCACATCATCTACGGCTGGAGTCTGAAGCTTCACGTCATCTACCGCTGGAGTCTGAAGCTTCGCGTCATCTACCGCTGGAGTCTGAAGCTTCAGATCATCCTGGAGTCTGAAGCTTCACATCATCTACCGCTGGAGTCTGAAGCTTCAGATCATCCTGGAGTCTGAAGCTTCACATCATCTACTGCTGGAGTCTGAAGCTACACATCATCTACCGCTGGAGTCTGAAGCTTCACGTCATCTACCGCTGGAGTCTGAAGCTTCACGTCATCTACCGCTGGAGTCTGAAGCTTCACGTCATCTACCGCTGGAGTCTGAAGCTTCACGTCATCTACCGCTGGAGTCTGAAGCTTCACGTCATCTACCGCTGGAGTCTGAAGCTACACGTCATCTACCGCTGGAGTCTGAAGCTTCACGTCATCTACCGCTGGAGTCTGAAGCTACACGTCATCTACCGCTGGAGTCTGAAGCTTCACGTCATCTACCGCTGGAGTCTGAAGCTTCACGTCATCTACCGCTGGAGTCTGAAGCATCACATCATCTACCGCTGGAGTCTGAAGCTTCAGATCATCTACCGCTGGAGTCTGAAGCTTCACGTCATCTACCGCTGGAGTCTGAAGCTTCAGATCATCTACCGCTGGAGTCTGAAGCTTCAGAATATCTACCGCTGGAGTCTGAAGCTTCAGATCATCTACCGCTGGAGTCTGAAGCTTCAGATCATCTACCGCTGGAGTCTGAAGCTTCAGATCATCTACCGCTGGAGTCTGAAGCTTCAGATCATCTACCGCTGGAGTCTGAAGCTTCAGATCATCTACCGCTGGAGTCTGAAGCATCGGATCATCTACCGCTGGAGTCTGAAGCTTCAGATCATCTACCGCTGGAGTCTGAAGCATCGGATCATCTACCGCTGGAGTCTGAAGCTTCACGTCATCTACCGCTGGAGTCTGAAGCTTCGGATCATCTACCGCTGGAGTCTGAAGCTTCACGTCATCTACCGCTGGAGTCTGAAGCTTCACGTCATCTACCGCTGGAGTCTGCAGCTTCACGTCATCTACCGCTGGAGTCTGAAGCTTCAGATCATCCTGGAGTCTGCAGCTTCACATCATCTACCGCTGGAGTCTGAAGCTTCACATCATCTACCGCTGGAGTCTGAAGCTTCACATCATCTACCGCTGGAGTCTGAAGCTTCACATCATCTACCGCTGGAGTCTGAAGCTTCACATCATCTACCGCTGGAGTCTGAAGCTTCACGTCATCTACCGCTGGAGTCTGAAGCTTCAGATCATCTCTAAATCTGGGTTTTCTAGTGATGGGTCGGGCAACACCGATGCATCGGCGCATGTGTCGGTCTCATAGAGCGAAACCTGTGTCGACGTGTGTATCGCTAGGGAAAAGTCACGTGACCGATGTTTCGAACTGATTGACAAGCCTTTATAAGGAAGCGCATCTGCCAACGAGATGCATCTGCCAAAACAATCTTGCGTGTTTTGCGAATATAAAATTCATCAAAAATTATGGAGCTTCCTCAAGCAAAAAGAAAGGTTTCTGCCGTGTGGGACCACTTTGTCATTTCGGAAAATAATTGTTTTAATTTCCTTGTTACATCCTGTTCCTCTCAAAGTTTCCACTTGATTTTCTGAGTAGAAATTCATTTCAAAGTGACCTTTAGTTTACTGTTCGTGTTATTTTCTGCAGGTTAAATGTCGCAATTGCTCAACAGAGCTTGCAAATAACAGCACCTCTTCAATGCTGAGGCATTATAGGGCCAAGCATGAGCGTGAAATCCATGATACACCCATGATGAACTCAGGTATACAGGTATTTTACAACTTACTGACTTTATTTTATTGATAATTCTGAATAATTTACTTTCTATTTTTAACCATCAAGCTTCCAGGAAGCAGATGCTTGATGAGGCTGTGCTTAATTTCATTGTAAAGGACTGCCAGCCCCTCGCTGTTGTGGAGAATGAAGGCTTCAGGGAGCTGGTTCAGCTCCTTGAGCCCTCATATGTTTTGCCAACTAGAAAGGTTTGTGTGGAAATTATCTAAAGTGGTAGTTTATTCATCAAATTTATTTTAAATATATTGATTTTCTTCTGGTTTGACTTGGTGTGGTTTTCAGACCATCAAACAACTGTTGGCCAAAAAGTACGAGGAGGAACGGGAACGAGTGAAAATGGAAGTACAGCAGACTGCGGACAGAATGTGCCTCAATAGTTGGAAGCTCAAATAAGCCCCAGCCGGGAACATCTTCACAACAGCTGTCTGCCCCCAATTCAGGCATGATATTGAGCATCATTCCTTTGTTGTTTGTAAATCATGTACTAAAATACTATTTTTTTTTTTTTTTTTTTAGATGACCTTTGGGAACATTTTGATCTCGAAGTGGGGAGGCAGACCAAAAGTGCCACAGCTGATGCCATCCTTGAGGTGCAGAGATACATGGCAGAGGGCAATATTGTGAGGTCCCAGGATCCTCTTGTATATTGGAAAAACTAAAGGACGGTTTATCCAAACCTCTTCCGCCTGGCCTTAAAATTTTTGTGCACTCCAGCTTCATCTGTGCCGTGTGAGCGGGTGTTTTCCACAGCTGGAGAACTAATATCAAAAAAGCGCAACAGACTGGATTTCAAAACGTTGCAACAACTTATTTTTTTGAATAAAAATTTGTAAAAAAAAAAATACCAGTGAACAAGCATCTTCATTTACTACATGTTTACTTAGAGATTATTACATTATGATGCAGGTTCCCATTATTCATTGACTGTGTCTAAAATATCAAATATGTTTTAATAATAATATAATGCATCATACAATGAATTGCATCATATTAGTGTATATAATAGGTCATCAAATCAGTGTCAGTTAACTCTGTCAACTAGGTTGCCTGTAGGGATTTTTAATGTCCAGCAGGTGTCAGTATTCAGTGACACAGTATCAATACAGTTTGGTAATGTGTCGAAACGTTTCATGACGCCTCATCAACCCATCACTAGGGTTTTCTATTAATATCAGGACAATAGTTCAGAGGACATCCTGTTTCCAGGCTGATAAGGAGCTGAGGAGGAGCTGAGGAGGCTCAGCTCCTCTGACGGTTAGAAAACACCAACAGTCGCTCCTCCGCTCATCAAACGTTTCTAACTTCATCTTTCTTACCGCTGAGGAAGTTCCACCAACGTTTGTGGAAACCCACGCGTGTCCGGACTGAACAGAGCCCACTCAGTGTAGGAAATCACGCTGCTTCAGCCTGCATGGGACCAAACTCTTCATAACAACTTTGGAAACATGGCGGAAGGGGGCGGGCGGAAGGAGGGCGGAATGGAGGAGGGCCAATAGTTCTGCCCATTCTAAGTCACGTGACAGAAGCGATACTTTTGGACATTATTTCACTAAAAATCCACAGATTTGTTGTCGGCTATTATAGCAGATTTTATGCATTATAATCCAGAACTACCCCCCACCGCCATCAGACTAATGAACTGTTGGAATAAAATGGGGTTAAAAAATAATTATAAAGCGCTGAATGTTGGAACTGTAAATCATATACCAGTATATGTTTATATTTGATCACTGCTGCACTTTAAAATGGAAATGTCTGTACTGAATTCAATTTATTTTTTGTTGACACTGTGTACAAAATGACAAAGTCTAAGTAGGTCTACAGCAGGGGTCACCAACACGGTGCCCGCGGGCACCAAGGGGCCCTCAAGGACCACGTGAGGTGCCCTCTTCTGAAAACAGAAGAACTCACTCAGTAGGTTAAGTTTAATTTTTGTTTATTCTGTTGCTCTTCTTTTTAATCATTTATGTATTATTTCATCATGTTAACTATTTCACCATATTTCAGTGGTCTCAAAATGACAATATTAAAATGAAAATTAGAAATGAATAAAAGAATAAAATAAGAATAAAAATAAGTTTTTATGGATGAGATTTACTGTAGGTGAACACTGATCCCTCTTGTTCATAGGTCAGTATTGGTAGCCCTTCCTATGACTCGGTAGCCATGAAGTAGCCCTCAGCCTTAAAAAGGTTGGTGACCCCTGGTCAACAGGGAGGCTCTGCTTAGACACACAATGTAGATAAATAATAAAGGAATACGCTTCAAATCTAGGTTCAGCTACATGTCCAGCTCTATTAAACTCCTATGATGATAGTGTAAAATGATGCATTTATTTTCCAGACTTAAACATGTTAACTTAGTTTTATTGTTGTACATCAGGCATCAAGCAGAGAGCATGAGGTCTGTTCCTGTAGCTTAGCATTATGTAATAATGCATAAGGCAATGCTAGCGTTAGCGGCTAACCCCCCCAAACAACTGCACTGCTGTGCGTTTGCATTCACTGGATCGCTGATTGTCCATTGGCAGTACAGGGTGGAATGAAGCCACCGGTCGCCATATTGGTACTCCCTAATCAGACCAGCTGGAATGTAAACAGTCTGCGTTACAGCATCAAACATCTTTTAGAATAAAATGAATTCATCACTTTGACACACACTGGCTGTTTCATAGCATCAGTGGATTAACTTTACTTTTATCAAACCTTCTACCATGAGCGTAACCTCAATGAGATGACCAACATCTATAAACTGTTTCTCTGTGTTGCCACAGATTCCTGCTCAGGGCTTTGACTGCATTATAACACATGACTATCCTCTGGATCTGCTCCATGGTCATGCTGCTTCTCCCCCTGGAGGAGGGGAATGTGTTTATACATTCATCTAACTTCTTCACACCGTTTCGTTTAAGCTTCACTGTCGGAGATAAAGCTTTAGCTCCATCAGTGTGACCCGCCACCTGCAGCAGATCTGTGATGGCCGACGGTATCAGTGGAGGAGGCGAGTTTAAAGAAGCTCTTTGGTTCTCAACTAGAGAACCAGCTTATCTTCGATGGACATTGGCAGCCTATGTGATGCGGACCGGTGCCCACAGGCCCAGCCTGCCCGGCAGCCCACGCCATCAGGGCTGTAGGACTGGTTAGAAAATGAGACGATGGCAGGGAGGAAGCAAAGATGTTTATTTTCTCCTAGTGTTGCTCCAGTCATTGGACAGATTTCCAAACAGTGGTTCATGCTATCCGTGTGACGGGGCAGCCCTCGGGCTGATCCAGGAACAGCGTCTGGAACATGTGGTTGTAGAAGTCCGGATGGTAGAGGCAGGCCCGCGCGCAGTCAGGGCTGAAATTCAGCTCCAGGATCTGAGGCTGCATGATCCGCTCACCTGAAACCAGAACAACACCAACCTTTATGAACACGAGGCCCCAGTTGATGACTGTCAATACCTGAGACATCCAACATGCAGCCCCCCCCCCCATGAAGCCCCTACAGTCAGGTTACCATTTGGACCTTGGTCCCACTTCAGCATGAGGTCCACAGCGTAGATGGCCCGGGATGAAGGATAGGGACAGAGGCCGTACGGAGGAGGTCGAGACGAAGCAGCTTGGAAGAGCTCCTTGAAGGCTTTAAATAAACTAGCCTGAAAGAAAAGGAGGTGCAGTCAGGATGGTGCTCATCAGAAAGTAACCAAGCAAGACAAGGGGGGGGGGCTCCTAGAATTTCTAAAGTAGAATGGGAGGCAGATCTTTTAGTTCTCAGGCTCCTCTCCTGTGGAACCAACTACCAGTTTTAGTCCGTGAGGCAGACACCCTGTCTACTTTTAAGGCTAGGCTTAAAACTTTCCTTTTTGATAAAGCTTCTAGTTAGAGTGGCTCAGGTTATCCTGAGCTATCTCTATAGTTATGCTGCTATAGGCTTAGACTGCTGGAGGACATAGGGACCCCTTTTTCATCATTCTGCTTCATTCTATCTCCATTCTCCCACTCTGCAGAATCTGTTAGTTCAATCTCTAACGTTCTGCTCTCTCTGCTTTTTCTCATAGTAGCTTCATCTGGTCTGTTCCTGTTTGGCTGTGACTCCATCCTGGAGAGAAATATCAGCTGTGCTGCTGCCATCAACACCTTTGTTTATAGATGTTGGAGATCGGCCTGTTTTTCAGTGTTTGGTCCCATTTCTCTCCTATAGCTATGAACTCAGTCTTTACGGTGTTTAACATCCTGGTTCTGGGGGTTCTAACCAAACAGTGAGTTTGGCTCCATCCTGGAGTTCCACCATAGTTGGGGATAGTCTGTCATTCATGAATAAGCCCCGCCTCACTAGACTTCTGCTGATTCTGGCCCTGTTCTGTCTTGTTTCAGAGGGTGTGAGCCTCAGGGGGCCTTTTGCTATTTGTTTGCCTCCATGAAAACTGGTCTGGCCAAAGGCTATGTAGATTCTCTGCAGTAGGGTCTGTCTGTGCCGGACCTTTCAGAATCAGTCAGATCCATCTCTGCTGCATGAAGGAACCAAATTGATGGAAGCTAAACATCTGATATGAATGATGGGAATCAAAGACAGACTTACTTCCACATCCTTCCAGGGATGCTGAGGGTACTGCCTCTCAAACATGGGGATAAACTCATCATAGTGAACCTGCAAAGCCACAGTACAGTAATTCATTCAGAGGAAGCACACCTTAAAAAGGTCTTCTTTTAGAAGAGTCTAAAACCAGAGCATTGGGCCCCATAGGTCCTCAGTGAGAAGGCTGGCTGTCCAGATTATGGGCTACCTCTGTCACCCAGCACCCCTGAAGCACAGCCAGCAGCGTTCACCTGTATTTACACTCAATGGGCCTTTACATGTCTACATGCAAAACTCTATGAAGGATTTAGAAAATGAATACTACTGAAATCAGAAACATTAGCAAAGCACCAAGTGGCAGAGAAGGCAAAAACATGAGACATTTAAACTGTTCTTTCCTTCCTGTTTTCCTTCCTTTTAGCGGAGCAGAAGCATACGGAAGAGGATTAGGGCCAATAAAAAAAAAATGTTAACTGATTTTTTTTTTTATTTCAGTATAGTATGGGAAAAAAGTCAGAATTCTGACTTTTTTCTCAGAATTCTGAGATTAAAGTCAGAATTCTAAAGAAAAAAGTCAGAATTCTGACTTTTTTCCCATGTTAAACTGAAATAAAATTTAAAAATCAGTTAACTTTTTTTTTTTTTCAGTGGCCCTAATCCTCTTCCGTAGAAGCAGCCGAACGTTACCAAGAAGAAAAAGACCTGGATTGCAACTCAGCAGTGAAAGGTTCTGATAAAGGCACTGAGAAACTGAGAAAAGGGAACAGGGTAAAGGCCTGGAACGGACAGGAAGTGACAGCAGACGGGGCCTGGAACGGACAGGAAGTGAGAACAGATGGGGCCTGGAACGGACAGGAAGTGACAGCAGACGGGGCCTGGAACGGACAGGAAGTGAGAACAGATGGGGCCTGGAACGGACAGGAAGTGACAGCAGACGGGGCCTGGAACGGACAGGAAGTGAGAACAGATGGGGCCTGGAACGGACAGGAAGTGACAGCAGACGGGGCCTGGAACGGACAGGAAGTGAGAACAGATGGGGCCTGGAACGGACAGGAAGTGACAGCAGACGGGGCCTGGAACGGACAGGAAGTGAGAACAGGTGGGGCCTGGAACGGACAGGAAGTGAGAACAGACGGGGCCTGGAACGGACAGGAAGTGAGAACAGACGGGGCCTGGAACGGACAGGAAGTGAGAACAGATTGGGCCTGGAACGGACAGGAAGTGACAGCAGACGGGGCCTGGAACGGACAGGAAGTGAGAACAGGTGGGGCCTGGAACGGACAGGAAGTGAGAACAGACGGGGCCTGGAACGGACAGGAAGTGAGAACAGACGGGGCCTGGAACGGACAGGAAGTGAGAACAGACGGGGCCTGGAACAGACAGGAAGTGAGAACAGATGGGGCCTGGAACGGACAGGAAGTGAGAACAGACGGGGCCTGGAACGGACAGGAAGTGACAGCAGACGGGGCCTGGAATGGACAGGAAGTGACAGCAGACGGGGCCTGGAACGGACAGGAAGTGAGAACAGACGGGGCCTGGAACGGACAGGAAGTGAGAACAGACGGGGCCTGGAACGGACAGGAAGTGACAGCAGACGGGGCCTGGAACGGACAGGAAGTGAGAACAGATGGGGCCTGGAACGGACAGGAAGTGACAGCAGACGGGGCCTGGAACGGACAGGAAGTGAGAACAGATGGGGCCTGGAACGGACAGGAAGTGACAGCAGACGGGGCCTGGAACGGACAGGAAGTGAGAACAGATGGGGCCTGGAACGGACAGGAAGTGACAGCAGACGGGGCCTGGAACGGACAGGAAGTGAGAACAGGTGGGGCCTGGAACGGACAGGAAGTGAGAACAGACGGGGCCTGGAACGGACAGGAAGTGAGAACAGACGGGGCCTGGAACGGACAGGAAGTGAGAACAGATGGGGCCTGGAACGGACAGGAAGTGACAGCAGACGGGGCCTGGAACGGACAGGAAGTGAGAACAGGTGGGGCCTGGAACGGACAGGAAGTGAGAACAGACGGGGCCTGGAACGGACAGGAAGTGAGAACAGACGGGGCCTGGAACGGACAGGAAGTGAGAACAGACGGGGCCTGGAACAGACAGGAAGTGTGAACAGATGGGGCCTGGAACGGACAGGAAGTGAGAACAGACGGGGCCTGGAACGGACAGGAAGTGACAGCAGACGGGGCCTGGAATGGACAGGAAGTGACAGCAGACGGGGCCTGGAACACACAGGAAGTGAGAACAGACGGGGCCTGGAACGGACAGGAAGTGAGAACAGACGGGGCCTGGAACGGACAGGAAGTGACAGCAGACGGGGCCTGGAACGGACAGGAAGTGAGAACAGACGGGGCCTGGAACAAACAGGAAGTGACAACAGACGGGGCCTGGAACGGACAGGAAGTGAGAACAGACGGGGCCTGGAACGGACAGGAAGGGACAGCAGACGGGGCCTGGAATGGACAGGAAGTGAGAACAGATGGGGCCTGGAACGGACAGGAAGTGACAACAGACGGGGCCTGGAACGGACAGGAAGTGACAGCAGACGGGGCCTGGAACGGACAGGAAGTGAGAACAGATGGGACCTGGAACGGACAGGAAGTGACAACAGACGGGGCCTGGAACGGACAGGAAGTGACAGCAGACGGGGCCTGGAACAGACAGGAAGTGACAGCAGACGCGGCCTGGAACGGACAGGAAGTGAGAACAGACGGTGCCTGGAACGGACAGGAACTAACAACAGACAGGGCCTGGAACAGACAGGAAGTGACAGCAGACGGGACCTGGAACGGACAGGAAGTGAGAACAGATGGGGCCTGGAACGGACAGGAAGTGAGAACAGACGGGGCCTGGAACGGACAGGAAGTGACAACAGACGCAGCCTGGTACAGACAGGAAGTGACAACAGACAAAGCCTGGAATGAACAGGAAGTAACAACAGACGTGACCCAGAGAGTAGGTACCTGTTTAAGTTGCGCTCCTTCTGCGTAGTTCATGACAGTGAAGTGCTTCTGGTAGTCATCAAAACGATCCAAGGAGAACGGCCTGAATAACGGAGACCAGGATTATTCTGCTGACTGGGAGAGGATCAGATCCGCTTCCTGTGGTCATCATGCTTTTCTCACCGGTTGGCGAAGCGGAGCCAGAACACATCGTAGACGTAGAGACACAGAGGCTGCACCGAGCGCAGCATCAGCATGTAGCGGATGTCAAACTTCACCATCCCCATTTCCTCTCTGCTGAACAGAACCGGGTCCTCCAGGTACTTACACACCACCTGGCAAACACACACCGCCCATCAGCTCCTCACAGGCAGCCGTTGGCTCATCAGACTGAAGATTCTGGACCAGAACCGGGACCACTGCAGCTGTGTTCTGGTCCAGATGCTCCAAACATCTGTTTTATTTTCCCCCCAGCTCTAGCCCAGCAGCTGTAACCCAGCTGGGGGTGGCGCCCTCTATCCATCAGCCTGGAACGGGTCACAGAACCATTTCTCTAAGGGATTAAAATCTTTAATAATGGTGAGATTTATCAGTCGTCACGGACGAGGCTGAGGATGTCCACGGTTTGTCTAAAGACCTGCGGGTGATGAACTAAGGGCAGTTTGGTTTCCTCTCTGCTACCTTTGGCGTGCTCTCTCTCTGCCGGATGATGTAGTCCAGGTTCTGGGTGATGTGTGTGTCCAGACCTCGGGCCAGGTTCCATGGCTTACAGATCCAGTGGTTTTCCTCCCCACTAAAAGATACATGCAGAGATAAAATCATCAGGCAGGACCTGGAGAGGAAAGAAAATCTATGAATGAAAACCAGATCTGACCTTTGCTCTCTCAGCTGGTAATGTTTGATGAACTGTGGGAGCTCCGTCTGAAGGTTGAAGGTCACTGGGAGCCAGTCAGGGGGGGGGCCGCCTTTGACCCTGCGAGCCACAGCAGCCAGACAGTCCTTCACTGTCAGCACGCTCTCACAGGGGAACTGGTTCAGCAAAACGTCCGGCCGCTCTGCACTCAACCTCCTGGCAGACATGGACACCTTAAACCATCAGAACCCACTTTCCTCTCTGACCACAGCTGGAACCAGAGTCCTCCTCCTCTGTTTCAGGTTGATTACGTTCTGCTCCGTGTCTCTTGCATTGCCTCGCTGATTTAAAAAAATGCCCAGAAACAGAAACACATCAAAGATGTTCTCCAGACCTGCAGATACCCAAACTGGGCATTTGTCAAATCAGCAAAGAAATCCAAAAAACACGCAGCAGAAGATAGATGTGAGAAGATTAAGCACAAAACATCTCCATCCCAGATGTTGCTGCATTCTTTGGAGGACCAGAATGTTCACATTTTGGACAAAGAAGACAGGTGGTTTGAGAGGGGCTGATTCCAGCTTTCAAAAACCTATAAAGCAGCGATAGCGAGCTATCATCTCAATCCTCATTTGAATGCAGGGGACTAAATCATCGCTGCTGTAAGCCAGGCCAATAACGGCCCTAACGACTCCCTGTTACAGAGCGTGGGCCAGTTTTGGTTCAATTTGTATGTTTGTTGGGGCTTTTGTTTGGCCGCTCTATAAGTCTGGAACTCCACGCTAATCCAGACATCTTGAATTGAGAAAGGTGAGGGCGCTAACGTCACTGAAAGGTGAGGACGCCAACGTCACTGAAAAGGAGGGCGCCAACGTCACTGAAAGGTGAGGACGCTAACGTCACTGAAAGGTGAGGACGCCAACGTCACTGAAAGGTGAGGACGCTAACGTCACTGAAAGGTGAGGACGCCAACGTCACTGAAAGGTGAGGGCGCTAACGTCACTGAAAGGTGAGGACGCCAACGTCACTGAAAAGGAGGGCGCCAACGTCACTGAAAGGTGAGGACGCTAACGTCACTGAAAGGTGAGGACGCTAACGTCACTGAAAGGTGAGGACGCTAACGTCACTGAAAGGTGAGGACGCCAACGTCACTGAAAGGTGAGGACGCCAACGTCACTGAAAGGTGAGGACGCTAACGTCACTGAAAGGTGAGGGCGCTAACGTCACTGAAAGGTGAGGACGCTAACGTCACTGAAAGGCGAGGACGCTAACGTCACTGAAAGGTGAGGACGCTAACGTCACTGAAAGGTGAGGGCGCCAACGTCACTGAAAGGTGAGGACGCCAACGTCACTGAAAGGTGAGGACGCCAACGTCACTGAAAGGTGAGGGCGCTAACGTCACTGAAAGGTGAGGACGCTAACGTCACTGAAAGGCGAGGACGCTAACGTCACTGAAAGGTGAGGACGCTAACGTCACTGAAAGGCGAGGACGCCAACGTCACTGAAAGGTGAGGACGCTAACGTCACTGAAAGGCGAGGACGCTAACGTCACTGAAAGGTGAGGGCGCTAACGTCACGGATACGTAAGGACACTAACGTCAATGAAAGGTGAGGACGCTAACGTCACAGAGAGGTGAGGGCGCTAACGTCACTGAAAGGTGAGGACGCTAACGTCACTGAAAGGCGAGGACGCTAACGTCACTGAAAGGTGAGGACGCTAACGTCACTGAAAGGCGAGGACGCCAACGTCACTGAAAGGTGAGGACGCTAACGTCACTGAAAGGTGAGGACGCTAACGTCACTGAAAGGTGAGGACGCTAACGTCACTGAAAGGCGAGGACGCTAACGTCACTGAAAGGTGAGGGCGCTAACGTCACGGATACGTAAGGACACTAACGTCAATGAAAGGTGAGGACGCTAACGTCACTGATACGTGAGGACGCTAAAGTCAATGAAAGGTGAGAACGCTAACGTCATAGAAACGTGAGGGCGCTAACATCATAGAAACGTGAGGACGCTAACGTCATAGAAACGTGAGGACGCTAACGTCATAGAAACGTGAGGGCACTAACCTCCCTGAAAGGTGAGGACGCTAACATCACTGATACGTGAGGACGCTAACGTCAATGAAAGGTGAGGGCGCTAAAGTCCCTGAAAGGTGAGGACGCTAACATCACTGATACGTGAGGACGCTAAAGTCAATGAAAGGTGAGGACGCTAACGTCATAGAAACGTGAGGACGCTAACATCATAGAAACGTGAGAGCGCTAACGTCATAGAAACGTGAGGGCGCTAACGTCATAGAAACGTGAGGGCGCTAACGTCATAGAAACGTGAGGAAGCTAACGTCATAGAAACGTGAGGGCGCTAACGTCATAGAAACGTGAGGGCACTAACGTCATAGAAACGTGAGGGCACTAACCTCCCTGAAAGGTGAGAACGCTAACGTCACTGATACGTGAGGACGCTAAAGTCAATGAAAGGTGAGGACGCTAACGTCATAGAAACGTGAGGACGCTAACGTCATAGAAACGTGAGAGCGCTAACGTCATAGAAACGTGAGGGCGCTAACGTCATAGAAACGTGAGGGCGCTAACGTCATAGAAACGTGAGGAAGCTAACGTCATAGAAACGTGAGGGCGCTAACGTCATAGAAACGTGAGGGCACTAACGTCATAGAAACGTGAGGGCACTAACCTCCCTGAAAGGTGAGAACGCTAACGTCACTGATACGTGAGGACGCTAACGTCAATGAAAGGTGAGGACGCTAACGTCAATGAAAGGTGAGGACGCTAACGTCATAGAAACGTGAGGACGCTAACGTCATAGAAACGTGAGGACGCTAACGTCATAGAAACGTGAGGGCGCTAACGTCATAGAAACGTGAGGAAGCTAACGTCATAGAAACGTGAGGGCGCTAACGTCATAGAAACGTGAGGGCACTAACCTCCCTGAAAGGTGAGAACGCTAACGTCACTGATACGTGAGGACGCTAACGTCAATGAAAGGTGAGGACGCTAACGTCAATGAAAGGTGAGGACGCTAACGTCATAGAAACGTGAGGACGCTAACGTCATAGAAACGTGAGGACGCTAACGTCATAGAAACGTGAGGGCACTAACGTCATAGAAACGTGAGGAAGCTAACGTCATAGAAACGTGAGGGCGCTAACGTCATAGAAACGTGAGGGCACTAACCTCCCTGAAAGGTGAGAACGCTAACATCACTGATACGTGAGGACGCTAACGTCAATGAAAGGTGAGGACGCTAACGTCATAGAAACGTGAGGACGCTAACGTCATAGAAACGTGAGGGCACTAACGTCATAGAAACGTGAGGACGCTAACGTCATAGAAACGTGAGGGCGCTAACGTCATAGAAACGTGAGGAAGCTAACGTCATAGAAACGTGAGGGCGCTAACGTCATAGAAACGTGAGGGCACTAACCTCCCTGAAAGGTGAGAACGCTAACATCACTGATACGTGAGGACGCTAACGTCAATGAAAGGTGAGGACGCTAACGTCATAGAATCGTGAGGGCGATAACGTCAATGAAAGGTGAGGACGCTAACGTCATAGAAACATGAGGACGCTAACGTCATAGAAACGTGAGGACGCTAACGTCATAGAAACGTGAGGGCACTAACGTCATAGAAACGTGAGGGCGCTAACGTCACTGAAAGGTGAGGGCGCTAACGTCATAGAAACGTGAGGGTGCTAAAGTCACTGAAAGGTGAGGATGCGCTGAAAGGTGAGGACGCTGACGTCAGAGAAACGTGAGGGTGCTAAAGTCACTGAAAGGTGAGGATGAGCTGAAAGGTGAGGGCGCTAACGTCATAGAAACGTGAGGGTGCTAAAGTCACTGAAAGGTGAGGATGCGCTGAAAGGTGAGGACGCTAACGTCATAGAAACGTGAGGGCACTAACCTCCCTGAAAAGTGAGGACGCTAACGTCACTGAAATATGAGGGCGCTAACATCCCTGAAAGGTGAGAACGCTAACGTCAATGAAAGGTGAGGACGCTAACGTCATAGAAACGTGAGGGCGCTAACGTCATAGAAACGTGAGGACGCTAACGTCATAGAAACGTGAGATCAGACCCATCCAACATTGGCTTCCAAGCTGCTATCAGGACAGTTGACTATCAGGAGGTGAACGATGCTCACCTGTAGTCCTTGATGTGATCGTAGCTCCAGATGACATCGGCCTCCTCCTCTTCCTCCGTCAGAAGGAAACGAGGATGAGTCAGGTTGTTCCTGACTTGGGACATTTCAGTGAAGACTCTGAAATCACAGCTTAAAGCATCAGGACTCCAGACGGCCATTTTGAGCGGGTTCTACCTTTGCAGCTTTCTGAGCTCAGACTGACTTGAGGATTTTATCTTTGGGAACAGAGGAAGGTTGGATCTCCACAGGAAGCTGCTCCTTGTTCTCTCGTGCGATAGCCTGGAAAAACAAACCCAGAGACGTCTTGGTCTGAGGTCTGCTGAAGGATTTAAGCTAAAATGAACCAAAGTAGATCTCATTGTCGATCAGAGAAGAAAACTTTATTTAGATTAGTCTGAAAACCCCTTAGATTACCCAGTCAGAGCTCCTACTGCAAATCTAGAAATGTTCTGGTAGGCGGAGCCAGAGTCAGACTGAAGGTACGACGCCGTGGATGAGCGGCCTAACCTGGAGGTAAACCTCTCCTGCCTGCCATGTGATTGGCTGAGAGGTCAGCTGACGGCTGCAGCAGAGCAGAGCGCTGCATCCAAACACCTCTAAGAAAGTTCAGTGGAAGGAAAAACGTCGTCCAAACTAAAGAAAGCAACAGGGATCGCTGCAGCGTGATGTCTGGGCTGAACCAACCGACTGCTCAACCGCTACTCAGCCGTCAGAAGTTCTCCTTTTCCTTCAACACGTCTGTAACAGAACCATCATTCCTGAGAGGAACAGGTTCTGGAATGTAGCTAACTTTAAACAACTCTTTTTTCTAAGAGAACAGACATATTTTCAGTTGTTTCCCACTTATACGTTAAGTATATAATTCCAATTAATTCATAGTTTTGATGTCTTCAGTGGGAATTTTCAATTTTAATAGTCATGAAAATAAAACTCTTTGGATGAGAAGGTGTGTCTGAACCTTTGGTCTGTACTGTTTGTGTACAAATGGATGAAAGCATCACTGTCCCCGTTTCTTATTTTGATTCTTATGAAATGTATTTATTTTTGTCTCTGAGCTGGAAATGTCTGCAGATTAGATTACAGAAATCTGCCCACCTTAGAATAAGGAGGTTAATGTGTTGCACTAGAGCACTGCATTAGTTATCACGACTGGAAACGTGTGAGGCGTCACTGACGTTTTGCTGCAGTTCACGCCCAGTTTTAGGCGTGAATGTGAGTCAACCGCTCCAGTTCTTCTGACCTGATCTGGACCTGGCAGGAACCGCTCCTGTTCTCCTGGTTCTCCTCACCTCATAGTAGGAGTCTGGGGGCTCAGAGATGGTGCTGCTCAATCCCTCCAGGTCATCCGGTCTCCATGGTAACAGTCGGCAGCGCCGCAGCAGCGGGTCGGTTTCTCCGTAGGCATAGTCACGGCTAACTTCATCTGTGGAGATGATGGAGGGAAGCAGACTGATGGAGAACCGGATCGGAACCAGACCGGAACTGGATCAGAATCAGACCTGAACCAGATCAGAATCAGACCGGAACTGAATCAGAACCAGATCAGAACCAGACCGGAACTGGACCGGATCAGAACCAGACCGGAACCGGATCAGAACCGGAACAAAAAACAGATCTGAACTGGATCAGAACCAGACTGGAACCGGACCTGTACCGGACTGGATCAGAACCAGATTGGAACGGGACTGGATCAGAACCAGACCGGAACCGGGTCAGAACCGGACCTGTACCGGAATGGATCAGAACCAGACCGGAACCGGGTCAGAACCGGACCTGTACCAGATCAGAACCAGAACGGAACTGGATCAGAACCAGATCTGAACCAGATCAGAACCAGACCGGAACCGGATCAGAACCGGAACAAAAAACAGATCTGAACTGGATCAGAACCAGACTGGAACCGGACTGGATCAGAACCAGACCGGAACTGGATCAGAATCAGACCTGAACCAGATCAGAACCAGACCGGAACTGAATCAGAACCAGATCAGAACCAGACCGGAACTGGACCGGATCAGAACCGGAACAAAAAACAGATCTGAACTGGATCAGAACCAGACGGGAACCGGACCTGATCAGAACCAGACCGGAACCGGGTCAGAACCGGACCTGTACCAGATCAGAACCAGAACGGAACTGGATCAGAACCAGATCTGAACCAGATCAGAACCAGACCGGAACTGGACCGGATCAGAACCAGACCGGAACCGGATCAGAACCGGAACAAAAAACAGATCTGAACTGGATCAGAACCAGACTGGAACCGGACCTGTACCGGACTGGATCAGAACCAGATTGGAACAGGACTGGATCAGAACCAGACCGGAACCGGGTCAGAACCGGACCTGTACCGGAATGGATCAGAACCAGACCGGAACCGGGTCAGAACCGGACCTGTACCAGATCAGAACCAGAACGGAACTGGATCAGAACCAGATCTGAACCAGATCAGAACCAGACCGGAACCGGATCAGAACCAGACCGGAACCGGATCAGAACCGGAACAAAAAACAGATCTGAACTGGATCAGAACCAGACTGGAACCGGACTGGATCAGAACCAGACCGGAACCGGGTCAGAACCGGACCTGTACCGGACTGGATCAGAACCAGACCGGAATCGGATCGGATCAGAACCAGACCGGAACCGGATCAGAACCGTCTGGGCCAGGTTCTGCTCTCACCTCCTGCCTGCAGGTCCTGCAGAGGCCAGAGCAGAGTGTAGGCCAGCTGGTTCTGGATGCAGAAGAAGGGCGCCATGCAGCAGCTGGGCAGGTCCGAGTGCTGGACCTGGGAGCCAAACTCATCCATGATGTACCAAACCGGAACCTTCTCCTCCGCAGACTGCAGACACACAGAGCGGAGATGAAGCCCTCAGAGAAACATGGAGGCTCTGGTTCTGGATGAGCGTACCCCCTGGGACAGCTGGTAGGTCTGGCTGTACTTCCACATGTGCTCCAGTATCAGCTCCACCGCCTCAGGAGTGGGGGCCTCGCCGTGGAAGTCAACCCCCATGAGGGAAGCCATCCTGGGCAGCAGGCCGGGGATCTCCTCCAGGTGCTGCCTGGCCTGGTCCACGCGGTACGTCCAGGCGTGGTCCACCAGGAACACGCTGCCACACAGGAAAAAGGTCTCAGCTCAGGGGCCCGGACCCCCGCAACATCAACGCTGCACAGAGCCCTGCTAGGCTGACCCGTTACCAAGGCAACCACTCATCACAGAGCTGTCCTTCATCCCGGTTCTGAACATCTGAGCCACGACCAGAAGGTTCTGAAATAATCGGCCCCCTTTGTCCCACAGATAACCTTCTACTCCTCACCTGGATGGATCGTTGACCTGCAGTCCCGTTGCCCTGGTAACCACCACTTTACACCTGATCATGGCCCCTGGGTTCCCCTTCTTCCTCTCCTCCTCTTCCTCTCCGGGTTCTTCATCATCCTCCTCATCCTCCTGGACCTGCATTATTCCAAAAACTTCTCCAGCATCATAAACCTGCAGAGAACCAGACACAACATTTCAACCAGGTCCTTTGCTGCCCCCTTGTGTCGGGAGCGCGCCCTGCAGCCAGAGGTGGATGGGACCATTATTATCTCATCATTTCCCAGTAAAATCAGCTCCTATAGAATCCTTTCATGATTCTAACATCCAGTTTAAGCTGCAGCTGTTGCTTACAATATTGTTCAATACATAGATGACGTCATTTAAGCTGTTTTGTGTTGTTGTTTTTTTTAAACACCAAGAGAATCTGTCTTTTCCCAACATTTGTCCCTTCAGAAATAAAAGTCAGTCACCAAACACAGTTTTCCAGCTCATAGTGAGTATTTATAGTTTTCATTGCTGATATGAGATGGAAAGCAGGACATAAAGTTTAATACTTAATACAACTTAATAGTTGCTCTTTATTTCCCAAAGATGTGGGAGGAGGAGAGATTCCAGCTGCCTGAAATAATCAGTTCTCCTCCATAACATGGGACCTAATTATATTTCTCTGTAACTGATTAGTCCATCATCATCATCATCCTCATCATCATCATATCATGTGGATTTGGTGACATCTGTTATTTAGTTAAGAGGAGGAACTTTATATTTGATCCGAGCTGTTTTTACCCAGAATTGATCAGATTCGCCTCATGGCTGCAATGCGCGCTCCCGACACGGGAACTTTTCAGAGGGAAACAGCAAACCGGTTCTACCCCCGGTACCGGTACCGAACCGGCTGGAGCAGAGGAGGCGAATGGTCTGCGCTCCATCTGCGCATGCTCAGTGCACACCTCTTCAGTGATCTTGCGGTAGAGGCTCCTCCAGTAGAGCTGAGGGACCCCTGAGGACCGCAGGGCCCCACCGTGCAAAGCCACGAAGGCTCCGAACCCCTCATCCGGGTCAGGATCCAGACCTGCAGGCTCCATCTCTGCCGTGAAGCTCCGACTCACGTGGAAGCAGCAGCAAAGGGTCCGGAAGAGCAGGCTTCTTCTGCGAGGAAACAACCAACAGGTGGATGCATCAGCGCCACCTGCTGGTCAGGAGCTGGACCCGCAGAAAGTGATGGTGTTTGTAGACCATGAGCTTCTTACTTACCAAGTCAGATTCTTTCTGAAGGTTTATTCATAACATGTTACCGTTTAACCAAAGTGTCTGTTATTAGTTTTGAGTCTGACTACTTTCCATTATTGTAAGTAAGGAGGAAAGAACGCTGCTCAGGCAGAACAGGGCTGATTACGGTGCCATCAAGGCCGTATGATGAACTGTTCTCTTTGTAAAGAAATAATAAAGTGCCGACTGAGTGAAATCCATCGATCTCTGTTTATTTAACTGGATTGAATAGTTGAATACTTCTTTCCTCTTACAGCTCACAGTGAAACATCCTGATCTGGCATTTCTCTCTTTGATCAATGACACTTTTCCCTTTTGTATTATTAGTTATTCTAGATTTTGTACATGAACATTTGGATCATTGGTTTCATTTCTCGTATCACTGAGGCAATAAAGCTGATTCCCTCCTGGACAGATAAACCTCTAGTTTATTCTGCTGGTTTTTGTTGGTTCCGTCTCATAGATCTCATATATGAGGCCGCAGAGTGACATGTTGCGACGTCTGGGACGCTGCTCCAGCAGTGCATCCTGGGAAATGTTCAGTGAAACAGGACATGTTCTGGTTCAGGAGGACGCAGCATGGAGACATGTAGACATTTTTATTCAGGCAAAACAACCAAACTGCAGCTCTAAATATCACAGTTATGATTCTGCCTCTGAAACGCAGCATTTCTGCTCACACACCATTTATAACAATTATAGTAAATGAAGGAATAAAACATGAAGTATTTCGTATTATACGTAAAGATAAATATTGTCCACATTTGAAGCTATAATGAACGATTTCCCTGAATCAATCAAACTGATGGATTTCCTTTGTCATTTTGCAGCACACATGTACATACCTGAGCTAACACAGGCAGCCGCGTCTCAATGCATCAGAATATCTTTTGTATCTATGCTCTTTTTCTATGTCTGCTTCTGTCTCTTTGAACCCAGGCTGCTGATTTGGCTGCTTTGTGTTGTGCTTTCATCAGCACCAGGTGAAAGTGTCAGCCTGGCCTCAGCTCTACATCTTCTGAAAACATTCTCTTGCATTACTCCAAACTTGTATCCCCTGGAAGGAGAGAGAGGACAGAAAGGAAACGGTTAGAGTCGAGCTCAGAGGCTGCGCTCAGAGGTCAGCCTCCTCTCTACCTTCTTGCACATGCTGATCTGCATCAGAGCGTAGCTGATGAGCGCCTCCAGCAGGTCTTTGTCTTTCTGATCCTTGAAACGCAGGATGTCAGCCCAGGCCTTTACGGCGTGCTCCCTGGTGAAGGACACATTGAACAGAGCCTGAGCAGAGCTCCAACCAGCAGCCTTTGCTGCTGCCTTCACAAACAGTCTGTAACTTACTGGCACTCAGCTGTTTTCTCTTTCACAGCCTCTTCCCCCTCTGCTATCAGCTCTTCTAGCAGGTTCAGCTTGGCCTCCCTCTGCTCAGGAGCCTCCTGCCCAAACAGCTTGTTGGTCATCCCCTTCAAGGAGAACGTTCTCACCATCTGAGGGAGTACAGAAGAGAACAGGACATAGAATCTGATCACCTTCTGTCCGTTGCAGTTCTTCAATTCTGAATGAAGATTAAACCTCTTTGAAGAAATGAAAAACCTGATAAATCCTGAAGGCAGAAGCATGAGAAATGAAAGTGTTTCCTCTGAAAAGCAGCAGCATGTCTGAAACTAAAGAAGCTCTACAGGTACTAAATGTAGACTATAAACTGTTTTCCTCCATCATAGCTAAAAGAATGGAAAATTGAATGCAGGATTTAACCGATGAGGATCAAACTGGTTTTATAAAAGAAAGACAAACACAAGACAATATAAGGAGAACTCTTCATATCATAGACCATCTGCAGGGAAGTGGGGAGGGGGCAGTTCTAATTAGTATAGACGCGGAAAAAGCCTTCGACAGTGTCAATTGGAACTTTTTGTATAAGGTCTTAGAAAAATTTGGATTTAATGAGACATTTGTAAACTGTATTAAATCAATTTATCAAGAGCCAACTGCACGGATTAAAATAAATGGCAACCTGTCAGGAAGAGAGGAACAAGACAGGGATGCTGCCTCTCACCTAGTCTTTTTGCACTGTTTATAGAGCCATTAGCTCAGATGAGGCAGGAAGTGGAAATAAAAGGAGTGGAAATAGGAGGGGAAGAACATAAAATAGGGTTGTTTGCAGATGACATTTTGATGTATTTAAAAAACCCAAATGAAATGTTTTTAAAAACAATAAGGTTGCTCGACGATTATGGGAAACTCTCGTTTTACAAAATTAATGTGGAAAAAACACAGATCCTAACAATAAATTATTCCCCGCAGCAGAAAATAAGAGATACCTACAAACTTAAGTGGAACGAAAAATCTATAAAATATTTGGGGGTAAACATAACCAAAACAATTGACAAACTCTATGATGCAAATTATCTAGAAATAAACCACAATATTAAGAAGGACCTAGGGCGATGGATGGACATTGGCTTGGATCTCAGCTCTAGAGTGGAGATAATTAAAATAAATATTTTACCACGACTGTTGTACCTATTTCAGTCCCTGCCACTGACTGTCCCGCAAAAACAATTTGTAGAATAGGACAGATGGATTTCAAGGTTTATATGGAACGGGAAGAAACTGTTGGGAGCTGGAGAAGTTCCATCTCTCTCCAGCAGAGTCCGCCATGGATCCTCCTGAGCTGAGCCTTCGACACACCTGAGGCGCATCTCATCATCAGAGGATCCACACTATATAAGCTGTCTTCAGACCTTGCCTCGACGCCGCAGTGTTAAGTCCAGTTGGTTAGCACCTAAGCCTAGTATCTTCTGAGAACCTTTGTTGCCATTGAATCCAGATTGGATTCTAACCCTTTGTCTCTGCTTTCAGGAATCCTGTTTTTCTCCTGTGAAGCTCTGGAAGAGCTTAACCTGCCGAGCCTGCCCTCTGAGCCAAACCTGAAGACTCTTCTCTGGATTCTCATGCAGCTCAGGACTAAGAGCTGGAAACTCAGAACCAAGGTCTGCCTTCTCGCTAGAAGTAAGACGCTGAAGCAGTTATCGGACTCTGCTGAACAAAACAATCTCTGGACCCAACAGTTCCTCCCTCAAGGCTTTACCAGGACTCCTCAAGGTACAAACCTGAAAACCTCAAACTCAACTGATCTAACGCTAACAGAACTGTCTCCCACACAGACTCCAGTGAACCAGCCCCCAGGCCTGAACCAGTACCAGTGTTATTTCCATGTGCTTTGTGAAACAATAAACCTGTTAAACTTTTATTCTGTCTCCGTGGTGTTCTGCATCTTGGGCCTCTCAGTAACCCATCATGACAGAACACTGCGGCCAAACACAAGGCCCAGCAGATCACCTCCATCGTCGATTGGAGGAGCAGGAGGCTCAAAACCATGGACACGCTCTGGCTCTTCGTGAGTTAAATACCCATATTGAAATGCAGAATCAAATGCTTCAAGGCTATGCTAACTACATGAACAGCGCTAATGCCACGCCGGCTGCGCAATCATTTCCGGGTCCAGTTCCGCCTCCGAGGTCACCGGCAGTGACGTCATCACCCGAGTTCCGCCCAAGTCTACCGGAGAAATTTTCTGGTAATATGAAGGACTGCAAAGGATTTTTGTTTCAATGTCGTTTAATTTTTCAGAACTCTCCTGGCAGTTTTCCCACGGATTATAGAAAGATAACTTTCATTCTGTCCCAATTGACAGGAAGAGCCCTGGAATGGGCTCAGGCAAGGTTTGCCTCTGACGAAAGCCTCAGTTGTCAATACATCGATTTTGTCTCTGAATTTTCTCAAGTATTCAACCAAGAAACTGATCAAACCATTGACTCTCGTGCTCTTTTTAACCTTAAACAGGGAAGTTCTTCAGTGGCGGAGTTCTCCATTAACTTCCGGGTTAAAGCGGCAGCTTCCGGATGGAATCAAAGTGCTTTAAAGGGCGCATATTTTATGGCTTTAAACGAAAGCATCAAGGATGAACTAGCAACCCTCGACGAACCTGCAACACTCGAAGAATTAATCCGCCTGACAATTAAGCTGGATAACAGGATCCGAGCTAGAAACAGCTCCAAATATAGGAATCAGGGTTCCTTTGCCTCTGCCCCTGCTTCTAATAATATGACTGTTTTTTCTGCTCCCACAGAACATTTGTCCAAACCGAGACCTAAAACCCAGTCTCTCCCTTTGCCTGTTCAGGCCTCTCATACTGGTGAGACGGAAATCGAACCCATGCAGGTTGGACATACTAGGCTGACGCCTGAGGAAAGACAAAGACGTTTTTTGAGCAAACTGTGTATCTACTGTGGTGAGAGTGGTCATTTCATCGCTTCATGCCCAGCTAAATCAAAAGCCGGGGCCCGTCAGAGGTTTTGAGGAGTCTGGCGGGCCATGTCAACTCTGAAAAATCTCCTCGTCTGATGCTCCCTGCCACTTTATTCTTCTCAGATCAGAACCTCTCTTTTTCTGCTTTCATTGATTCAGGCTGTGAACGAAATTTAATTGACTCAAATCTTGTCCAGCAGCTTCAAATTGAAACCGTTCCTCTAACCCAGCCTCTTTGTGTCTCGGCAATTGATGGGAAGAAACTCCACCAGGTCACCCATCAAACCCAACCTCTCGAGCTACTAATCTCAGGTAATCATCGAGAAACCTTAACATTTTTGTTTTTCCCTCCGCATGTTCCCCTCTGGTGCTTGGTTTTGAATGGTTGGAGAAACCTAATCCCCATATTAACTGGACTGATCGTCATGTGGAATCCTGGTCAACTCTTTGTCATGAAACATGCCTCCGTTCGGCAGCTCCCGCTGTGGGGTCCCCTAGAGGTGGGGGGGGGGGGAGATGGACTCTCCTGACCTTACTTCTGTCCCTTCCGAGTACCATGATTTGGCTCCTGTCTTCAGTAAGGTCAGTGCTACGTCCCTTCCACCACACAGACCATATGACTGTGCGATTGAGCTATTACCTGGAGCACCACTTCCCAGCAGCAGACTTTATAATATTTCCAAGCCTGAACGAGAAACCATGGAAAAATACATAAATGAGTCTTTAGCTGCCGGAATTATTCGCCCATCTTCCTCTCCGTTGGGTGCATGGTTCTTTTTCGTCGGCAAGAAGGACGGTTCACTAAGACCCTGTATTGATTACAGAGGCCTGAACCAAATAACTATTAAAAATAAGTACCCTCTCCCATTACTCGCTTCTGCATTTGAACCTGTCCAAGGGGCTACTGTATTCACCAAACTTGATCTAAGGAACGCTTATCACCTCCTCAGGATTCGAGATGGAGATGAGTGGAAAACAGCCTTTAAGACTCCCTTGGGCCAGTTTGAATATTTGGTTATGCTTTTTGGTCTAACTAATGCCCCTGCATGTTTTCAAGCCTTGGTAAATGACGTTCTCAGAGACTTTTTGAATGTGTTCGTGTTCGTCTACATTGATGACATACTCATTTGTTCTAAGGACCTTTTTGAGCATAAGAAACATGTCCGCCTGGTGTTACAAAGATTACTAGAGAACAAACTTTTTGTCAAAGCCGAGAAATGCGAGTTTTATCAGTCTTCAGTCACCTTTTTGGGGTTTGTGCTCGAGGGCGGGCAGGTTAAGCCTTCTGAAGATAAAATAAAGGCAGTTTTGGAGTGGCCGGTTGCTGAAAACCGTAAGCAGCTGCAGAGATTCCTTGGCTTCGCTAATTTTTATCGAAGATTCATCAGGAACTATAGTCAGACTGCTCTTCCACTAACTTCTCTAACTTCAGTCAAAATAACCTTCCAATGGACCCCCGAGGCATAAACAGCATTCGATAAACTTAAGACTTTGTTTTCCTGAGCTTCTGTGCTGATCCAGCCCGATCCATCTAAACGATTCATCCTCGAAGTAGACGCTTCCGACTCTGGTGTGGGGGCAGTCCTATCTCAAAGACTCGACACAGATCAAAGAGTTCATCCATGTGCCTTCTTCTCTCATAGACTTTCCCCCGCAGAGCAGAACTACGACGTTGGAGACCGTGAACTCTTGGCCATCAAGCTGGCATTGGAAGAATGGAGACACTGGCTGGAGGGAGCTGAGCACCCGGTTCTTGTTTGGACAGATCACAAGAACCTTGCCTACATCCAGTCTGCCAAACAGGCCAACCCCCGTCAGTCAAGGTGGTCCCTATTTTTCTCTCGTTTCAACCTCATAATTTCTTACAGACCCGGATCCAAGAACGTCAAACCCGATTCTCTCTCTCGTCTTTACTCCGTTGATCAATCCGAGACGCCTGAACCTGTCCTTCCCGCATCCTGCACTGTTGGAGTGGTCACCTGGGAGATCACCGATCTTATTAACTCTGCCCTGGCTTCTGAACCTGACCCAGGTAACGGTCCTCCAAACCGAACTTATGTCCCTTCTTCTGTTCGATCTCGCCTGATACAGTGGATGCATTCTGCCAAGTTTTCCGCTCATCCGGGGGTGAGCAGAACCGTTGCCTTAATCTCTAGACGTTTCTGGTGGCCAACTCTTCACAAGGATGTCAAAGAATACGTTTTGGCTTGCTCTACCTGCCCCAGAAATAAGGCTTCACACCAACCACCCTCAGGTCTGTTGCATCCTCTCCCAGTCCCCACAGGTCCATGGTCTCACATCGCAATCGACTTCGTCACTGGTCTCCCCATCTCCCGAGGTATGTCCACAATTTTTACCATCGTAGATCGATTTTCAAAGTCCTGTCATCTGATCCCCCTCAGGAAACTTCCTACGGCTTTTCAAACTGCTCAGCTTCTGATTAAACACGTTTTTCGTCTGCATGGAATCCCACAGGAAATACTTTCAGATCGTGGGCCCCAGTTAATTTCCCAAGTCTGGAAGGCGTTCTGCTCTGCCCTAAACTGTAAGTCTTCACTAACCTCCGGTTATCACCCTCAGTCCAACGGTCAAACCGAGAGGATGAATCAGCAGCTCGAGTCCACCCTCCGATGTTTAACCTCCAATAATCCCACCGACTGGAGCCAGTACATCACCTGGATCGAATACGCCCACAACTCAAGTCAGCTTCCACCGGTCAGTCACCATTTCAGGTCAGTCTTGGCTATCAACCTCCACTTTTTCCCGCAGACGAGAGAGAGATTTCGGTCCAATCAGCACATCCGTCGATGCCAACGCATCTGGAGAGACACCATCTCCACTCTCAATCGCTCCACGGAAACGACCAAACGCTTCGCCGACTCAAGGAGACGTCCTGCCCCAGAGTACTCGGCCTGAACCAGTACCAGTGTTATTTCCATGTGCTTTGTGAAACAATAAACCTGTTAAATTTTATTCTGTCTCCGTGGTGTTCTGCATCTTGGGCCTCTCAGTAACCCATCATGACAGAAACCTAGGGTTAGATATAAAACACTTCAGCTCCCAATAGATAAGGGAGGTCTGGGCTTACCGGCCCTAAAGGAATATTTTTGGGCCGCACAAATTAGACCTCTGGTATGTTGGTGCAATGATGACTATGTTTCAAAATGGAAAAATTTGGAATTGGGTAGAAAAGCCATAGAAGTAAAAAATTTAATAGCACATAAAACACTCTTAGGCAAACTAAGCAATAAGATAGATTCAATAACTAAAACTACGATTGAAATATGGGACACAGTAATTGATAAATACAAGTTAGAGAAAGAAACTAGGAGTTTGAGCTGGTTTGCTTGGGATCCGAGGTTTAAACCAGGTATTTACGACACAGGTTTCAAAAAATGGGCAAATAAAGGCGCCACAGCAATATGTAAATTGACTGAAAAGGGCAAACTGCTGAACTTCAATAACTTAAAGGGAAAATATGAACTGGAGGATCAAGACCAGTATAGATACCTGCAAATAAAAGATTATGAGAGAGATAAAACCAACGTAAGTAAAATAATAGAGATATTTCATAAAGCCTATGAGGGGAATAAATTACGAATTATTTCAGCACTGTACCAGGGTCTGATGGCAGGCAGGAAGACATCTACTATGTACATTAAAGAAAAATGGGAGGACGAATTAAAGGAACATATAAGCGAAGAGGAATGGTTTAAAATTTGTAAAATGCAGTGCACGGCCACCTGCTCTCGTGAGTGGAGGGAATTTAATTGGAAAAACATGATTAGATTTTTTATAACACCAAAGATCAGGTCCAGGATGCTATCCAGTTCACAGCCATGCTGGAGACTCTGTGGCCAGACTGATGTAGGCCACACGCACATTTTCTGGTCTTGTTAAAAGCTAATTACATACTGGCGCAATGTTTGCCTTATTCTGAAAAAAATACTGGGTTATGGAATACCCAGATCTTGTAAAATACTTTATCTAGGATGCCTGACACACGAGGTAATTCACAAGGATGATGAATACTTGGTAAAAATTTCAGCATCTAGGAAAACCATCACAAAACTATGGTATAGACAGGACCCCCCTGCGGCGGAGCAGTGGCTGAGCATCGTGGAAGAGATTTTTGTAATGGAGAAAATCACACATAGACTGAGATTGCAGGAGGACAAGTTCGTTGTTAAATGGGAAAAATGGAGCGACTACAGGCGTAAGGAGAATACCCAGATAAATATGGTCACAGCTGTTTAACATTGTTTGTGAAGTTGAATGTATGATTGCCTCTCCACTGTATGTGTTCAGAAATGTTCAATAAAAAATAAGTAAAAAAAAAAATAAATAAAAAAAATAAGAAGCTCTACAGACCTGGAGGATGATGATCTTTGATCATCTCCTCCCAATCAATCTTCTTCAGGACCATATGACTCCATTTCCTCTGGAAAATAGGAATCTATCACCTCTTCATCATCTTCTATGACTCCACCAAAGTTTCTGCTCCTGCTGCAGGTGGCCGGGTTCATGGCTGAGGCCTCCTTATGTTCACACTGAATGGGATTTCACAGCTGGAGCGAAGGATTCCCGTGTTATCTCTATGTAGGGCAGATCTGGAGCGAAGGATTCCTGTGTTATCTCTATGTAGGGCAGATCTGGAGCGAAGCCAAGCAGAGCGAGGCCACGGCGCCGAATGTAGGGAAGCAGACAGCACGGTTTTAACGAAGTCGGCTAATCTGATGGCCGCTGCGCCTGTGAAGCCCGGCTGGTTTCTGGGTCTCCTGAGGCAGAGAGCAGGAATGGTGAGCCCCAGCGTGATGTTCTAAAACCTGAAATCAGGGATACTCAGAGTTTTCCGTTTCCCAAAGAGAGTTTGCTCATCCTCTGTTTCTGTTGCCATGGTAACATCCTCCCAGAGCTAACCTGGTCAGCAACAGGTTTCCACGCTGCTTCATCTCCTGATTTAGTCTCATGTTTGTCCTAGTTTTATGCATAAAAAGAAAAAATCCACTAGGTCTGTTAGACACGTTAGATTTAAAAACAAACACTTCATGTCCGTCTGATGAGGATCTTATTAAAGAATGATCAGCATTAATTCACAGAGAATGAAATATTTATAGGGAGAGGATTCTACAACTCAGTGACAGGAGAGGAGATTACTGGTTTTTGGTTTGTTTAATAAATAAAAATGTATTAAACAAACCAAACCTAAATAAAAATTTTATTTCTATTTAGTTTTATTTACAGTACATGAAGAAATACTGAGATTATTTTCAGTTTACACATAAATAGATTAAGTCATTCGACGAGGGACAAAAGGAATTACTTTAGGATTAGGATTCCTTTAATGATAACAGCCTGCTGAGCCTACTGGAACAATCTGAAGCCATTCTAAGGGACTGATAGCCGCTAATAACGACCATTTATTGGGATGATAACAACTGAAGCGCAGCAGCAAACAGACACTAATTATTTACTGTGTAAAAGAGACTGAATCAACATGAGGAGGAACCCATGAGATGATGAACAGGTTCCATAGATTAGAACGTTTTTATTCTTCATCCTCACATGCTGACTAAAGATTTCACCTAAATAGATACATGGATCTATTACCATTCAAGAAATAAACCCGTAATATTATCGCTGTAACAGCAACTATGGCAAGCATGTGGGAGAATTATCCTGCCATACAAGCAGTTTGATATTTATTAGTTCTACTGAACATGGATTCCTGATAGCTGAAAAAATATATATTTTTTATTTGCCAAAATGACATTCTTCACATCTAGAATAAACATTCTGGATGTCTAGAATTTAATTTCAGTTCTCTGTATTCCTAATATTACTGTTCAGTTTCTATTATTTTAACTATGAAGAAATGTATTTCAGATTTCATAAAAATATTTTTAGTCAAGCTGATAAATGTCAGAACGGCCACTTAAAATGTGGGAACATTTCTAGATAAATAAAACTTAATTCTTACTAGTATAATTTTTTTTCTATTTTCTCAAATTCAGTTTCTGCTGCAAAAATGTAATTTAGAAAATATATTATAACAGTTCAGTCTAGGAGTGTGATTTTGATCAGGAAGAATCTTATTTTAGTGATCTACAAATGGAGCAACAGAGAGGAGAGAGCTTTTAATAAATGTAAAAACGGCCTGCCACAGCCCACTTCATATAAACTTATGCATTAACAATCCTCTCCTTCTCCATCTTCCTCTCCTTTGCAGCTGTAGCGCTTTTTCTCTGTCTTTTAAACACATTCTCCATTTTTATACAATGTTTTCATTAAATTCTCTAGTTCCAGTGGGGTGAAATAGGCACTTCCTGTTGCCTGTTGTCATGGTGACTCATCAATCGAAGCTCCACTGATAGTGGCTTTTCATACTTGTTACGTACAGTACGTGCTTATGTCTGAGTGTTTCTATTTGGTCTAGTTGATTGAACGAATTCATAGCAGCTGTTGTGAAACCGAAAACTCGGGAGTTCCCGACTTTAGGCCAGAGTTAAGGATTTGAATCTGAGTTTGTTAAACCTGCTTTGTGAAACGGACCCTGGGAATCCGAAGCATTAAAGGCTCATGCTAACTAAGGTGTGGCTGCATTGGAGCTGCGTCACTCCCACTGAACACTTCACCCAGGCCGGCCCCACTGTGCCTCTGACTGCAGGTCCACGATCCCACTCTTTGTGGGAGTTCTACAACAAAAACAGTCGCCTGCTCGTCTTCAAACAGCCCCACTGTGCGCGTAGGTTGGTTTTATTCTGAAATTCACCAGAATTAATTCCTGTTTGTTTCAGAATTCCTGCAGTTGGTCTCCGTTGACACCGAGCACCCATCTACATCATTCTGCTCCAGGGTTTATTGCTGCCCGTCAGTCCAGAGCTGAAGGTCTCAGGACTTTACTGCTGCCTATAGAACGGCTTCATTCTGCCTCCAAAGTTGGATTCGAGCACTGGCTGCCAAACTCTTTCTCTTCTGTGTGTCTGCAAACCTACTTTAAGTGTATGACGGCCCCCTAGAGATCCCTCTGTGACTAGACTGGATCAGGTACCACGCTGGACCTGCCCCTTTCAGAGGCTAGAGTTTTTTTTACGGCCCTGGAGGTGCCTGGAAGGCCGGGACTGAACCATTCGGTTGTGTTGGTGCAGGACGGCGTACCCCTGTAGCCAGCTCCTCACGTTGCTGCTTCTTAGACACCAGGTCCTGGGAGGCCATCTCCAGCTCAAACTGGCTCAGCTCATGTTTCCTGCACACGGCCCTGCAAAGGTAAAACGCTCCGCTGTAAGCCTGGTATCTGCAGCCAGATGCTCCTGCTCTAATGTCACGTTAGAATCAGGAAGTGTTATAAAGCTAAACCACCAAGAGAGAGAAAAGAGTGGATCTGCATTCATATTCCTCTGGCCTAACCCTGAAACAGCACGGGTCCCAACAATGTGTGAAACACCCGCCCACTTCCTGGACCCCTTCATGCAGAGCTTCAGGGGGCCCTTAAACCTGGAGCCTACCTCAGAGCTTCAGCGTAGGACAGATATTCTTTCAGCTGGTCAGCGTAATGTTCCTCTTCTTCCAGGATGTCATCTATGGATGTGGCATAGCTGTAGGTGAGAGAGAACACAAAGTGCTGCAGTCAGCATGTCCTACATAAAGAGGTTCTTCACAGCAGCAACCAGATGGTTTCATTCCTTCATGGAGAAGCAGGGAGTTCTTACGCATCCATGTGATGACCAGCACTCTGCAGTCCATCTCCCATCTCCTTCTCAATGGCGCTCCACTCACTGCAGAGACACATATACACAGTAGGACCAATGGTGTCTCATAGATGATTAAAATCATTTCGAAAATAAAATGTGGATGACCTGAAGACTCGTCCATAGTTTCCATGGACCTTGTAGACAGCATACAGCCGATCAGCAACCCTCTGTAAGAGAAAGCGTGTGTTAGTTTGTTGCTTCTTGGCTCAGGAGCTATAAGAACAGGAGCTAACAGAACAGGAGCTATAAGAACAGGAGCTAACAGAACAGGAGCTATAAGAACAGGAGCTATAAGAACAGGAGCTAACAGAACAGGAGCTATAAGAACAGGAGCTATAAGAACAGGAGCTAACAGAACAGGAGCTATAAGAACAGGAGCTAACAGAACAGGAGCTATAAGAACAGGAGCTATAAGAACAGGAGCTAACAGAACAGGAGCTATAAGAACAGGAGCTAACAGAACAGGAGCTATAAGAACAGGAGCTAACAGAACAGGAGCTATAAGAACAGGAGCTATAAGAACAGGAGCTAACAGAACAGGAGCTATAAGAACAGGAGCTATAAGAACAGGAGCTAACAGAACAGGAGCTATAAGAACAGGAGCTAACAGAACAGGAGCTATAAGAACAGGAGCTATAAGAACAGGAGCTAACAGAACAGGAGCTATAAGAACAGGAGCTATAAGAACAGGAGCTAACAGAACAGGAGCTATAAGAACAGGAGCTATAAGAACAGGAGCTAACAGAACAGGAGCTATAAGAACAGGAGCTATAAGAACAGGAGCTAACAGAACAGGAGCTATAAGAACAGGAGCTATAAGAACAGGAGCTAACAGAACAGGAGCTATAAGAACAGGAGCTAACAGAACAGGAGCTATAAGAACAGGAGCTAACAGAACAGGAGCTATAAGAACAGGAGCTATAAGAACAGGAGCTAACAGAACAGGAGCTATAAGAACAGGAGCTATAAGAACAGGAGCTAACAGAACAGGAGCTATAAGAACAGGAGCTATAAGAACAGGAGCTAACAGAACAGGAGCTATAAGAACAGGAGCTATAAGAACAGGAGCTAACAGAACAGGAGCTATAAGAACAGGAGCTAACAGAACAGGAGCTATAAGAACAGGAGCTATAAGAACAGGAGCTAACAGAACAGGAGCTATAAGAACAGGAGCTAACAGAACAGGAGCTATAAGAACAGGAGCTATAAGAACAGGAGCTAACAGAACAGGAGCTATAAGAACAGGAGCTAACAGAACAGGAGCTATAAGAACAGGAGCTATAAGAACAGGAGCTAACAGAACAGGAGCTATAAGAACAGGAGCAAACAGAACAGGAGCTATAAGAACAGGAGCTAACAGAACAGGGGCTAACAAAACAGGAGCTATAAGGACAGGCACTATAAGAACAGGAACTAACAGAACAGGGGCTAACAGAACAGAAGCTAATGGAACAGGAGCTAACAGAAAAGGAGCTATAAGAACAGGAGCTAACAGAACAGGAGCTATGAGAACAGGAGCTATAAGAACAGGAGCTAACAGAACAGGGGCTATAAGAACAGCAGCTATAAGAACAGGAGCTAACAGAACAGGAGCTAAGAGAACCAGAGCTAACAGAACAGGGGCTAACCGAACAGGAGCTATAAGAACAGGAGCTATCAGAACAGGGGCTAACAGAACAGGAGCTATAAGAAAAGGAGCTAACAGAACAGGGGCTAACAGAAAAGGAGCTAACAGAACAGGAGCTATAAGAACAGTAGCCAACAGAACAGGAGCTATAAGAACAGGAGCTATAAGAACATGAGCCAACAGAACAGGAGCTATAAGAACAGGAGCAAACAGAACAGGGGCTAACAGAACATAAGCTAATGGAACAGGAGCTAACAGAACAGGAGCTAACAGAAAAGGAGCTATAAGAACAGAAGCTAACAGAACAGGAGCTATAAGAAAGGAACTAACAGAACAGGAGCTATGAGAACAGGAGCTATAAGAACAGGAGCAAACAGAACAGGGGCTATAAGAACAGGAGCTATAAGAACAGGAGCTAACAGAACAGGAGCTAAGAGAACCGGAGCTAACAGAAAAGGAGCTACCGTATAAGAAAAGGAGCTAACAGAACAGGAGTTATAAGAACAGTAGCCAACAGAACAGGAGCTATAAGAACGGGAGCTATAAGAACAGGAGCTAACAGAACAGGAGCTAAAAGAACAGGAGCAAACAGAACAGGAGCTATAAGAACAGGAGCTAACAGAACAGGGGCTAACAAAACAGGAGCTATAAGGACAGGCACTATAAGGCACTATATATATATTAATCACATTTTAGATGTGATTAATCTATCTCTGTTACAGGGATATGTACCTAAAGCTTTTAAGATTGCTGTAATTAAACCTCTGCTTAAGAAACCGTCTCTTGACCCAGATGACTTGGTCAATTATAGACCTATATCCAATCTTCCTTTCTTATCCAAAATTCTTGAGAAAGTAGTTGCCAAACAAGTTTGCGATCACTTCCACCATAATGAACTTTTTGAAGAGTTTCAGTCTGGCTTTAGAGCTCATCATAGCACTGAAACAGCTCTGGTGAAAGTCACTAATGATATTCTCATGGCCTCAGATAATGGACTTGTATCTGTGCTCGTCCTGTTGGATCTTAGTGCTGCATTTGATACAGTTGACCATAATATTCTTTTAGAAAGACTTGAATATTTTGTTGGAATTAAAGGAACAGCACTAGACTGGTTTAAATCTTATCTATCTGATCGAATTCAGTTTGTTCATGTTAATGATAGATCTTCAACACGCTCAAAGGTTACCTGTGGAGTACCACAGGGATCAGTGCTAGGACCAATTCTCTTTACTTTATACATGCTCCCAATTGGTAGAATTATTAGACAGCATGGGATTAATTTCCACTGTTATGCTGATGATACCCAGCTATATCTGTCTATAAATCCAGATGAAGCTAACCCATTACATAGATTACAGGCATGTCTTGAAGACATAAAAACCTGGATGACTCTTAACTTTCTGCTTCTGAATGCAGACAAAACAGAAGTTATAGTCTTTGGACCAGAGTCTCTGAAAAAGAAACTGATTAGCCAGTCACTTCATTTGGATGGGATTAAACTGATTTCAGATAATAAAGTAAAAAATCTTGGTGTTATTTTTGATCAGGACCTGTCATTTAAATCCCATATCAAAGAGGTTTCTAGAATTTCCTTCTTTCATCTGAGGAACATTGCAAAAATTAGAAATATCCTGTCCAGGGGTGATGCTGAGAAACTAGTCCATGCATTTGTTACTTCAAGGCTGGACTATTGTAATTCTTTACTATCAGGAAGTCCACAAACTGTAGTTAAAAGCCTTCAGCTGACCCAGAATGCTGCAGCCAGAGTTCTAATGAAAATGAAAAAGAGAGATCATATCTCTCCTATCCTGGCTTCTCTTCATTGGCTTCCTGTTTAATCAAGAATAGAATTTAAAATCCTCCTTCTCACATATAAAGCCTTAAATGGCCAAGCTCCATCTTATATCAGAGATCTGATTGTTCCTTATGTTCCTAACAGAGCACTTCGCTCTCAATCTGCAGGTTTACTAGTGGTTCCTAGAATTTCTAAAAGTAGAATGGGAGGCAGATCTTTTAGTTATCAGGCTCCTCTCCTGTGGAACCAACTACCAGTTTTAGTCCGTGAGGCAGACACCCTGTCTACTTTTAAGGCTAGGCTTAAAACTTTCCTTTTTGATAAAGCTTATAGTTAGGGTGGCTCAGGTTATCCTGAGCTATCTCTATAGTTATGCTGCTATAGGCTTAGACTTTTGGAGGACATAGGGACCCCCATTTCATCATTCTGCTTCATTCTCTCTCTGTTCTCCTATTCTGCAGAATCTGTTAGTTCAATCTCTAACCTTCTGCTCTCTCTGCTTTTCCTCAGAGTAGCTTTGCCTCGTCTGTTCCTGTTTGGCTGTGACGTCATCCTGGAAAAAAACATCAGCTGTGCTGCTTCTATCAACACCCTTGTTAATAGATGTTGGAGATCGGCCTGTTTTCCAGTGTGGTCCTGTTTCTCTGACCGTGACTGAGTGGATGTGCTCTCTTCGTCCTCTGGCATGGGAGCTGCCTTGGAGCTCGTCTGCCTGGCTGTGTGTTTCCTGGACGGGGCCGCCTTTTACAGCTGCTTTTTGTATCTCTGCTTCTGTCTCCTTGAACCCCAGTCGGCCTCGGCAGATGGCCGCTCACACTGAGCCTGGTTCTGCTGGAGGTTTCTTCCTGTTAAAAGGGAGTTTTTCCTCTCCACTGTCGCTACAAGCATGCTTAGTGTGGGAGATTGTATTTGAGTCAATGAGTCAATGCAATCAACTGGTTTTCCTTAGATAGAAAACTTTGTATCAATTTGACTGTATGATCTGGTTGAACTGTAAAGTGCCTTGAGATGACATGTGTTGTGAATTTGGCGCTATATAAATAAACTGAATTGAATTGAATTGAATAAGAACAGGAACTAACAGAACAGGGGCTAACAGAACAGAAGCTAATGGAACAGGAGCTAACAGAAAAGGAGCTATAAGAACAGGAGCTAACAGAACAGGAGCTATGAGAAAAGGAGCTATAAGAACAGGAGCTAACAGAACAGGGGCTATAAGAACAGCAGCTATAAGAACAGGAGCTAACAGAACAGGAGCTAAGAGAACCAGAGCTAACAGAACAGGGGCTAACCGAACAGGAGCTATAAGAACAGGAGCTATCAGAAAAGGGGCTAACAGAACAGGGGCTAACAGAAAAGGAGCGAAGAGAACAGGAGCTATAAGAACAGTAGCCAACAGAAAGAGGAGCTATAAGAACAGGAGCTATAAGAACATGAGCCAATAGAACAGGAGCAATAAGAACAGGAGCAAACAGAACATGGGCTAACAGAACATAAGCTAATGGAACAGGAGCTAACAGAACAGGGGCTAAACGAACAGGAGCTAACAGAAAAGGAGCTATAAGAACAGAAGCTAACAGAACAGGAGCTATAAGAAAGGAACTAACAGAACAGGAGCTATGAGAACAGGAGCTATAAGAACAGGGGCAAACAGAACAGGGGCTATAAGAAAAGGAGCTATAAGAACAGGAGCTAACAGAACAGGAGCTAAGAGAACCGGAGCTAACAGAACAGGAGCTAACAGAACAGGAGCTATAAGAACAGGAGCTAACAGAACAGGAG